ACTATTTTTGTTGACCTTTGTCCATGGAAGGTCCCTGCAAAATTTCATTGAAATTGGTTAAGGGGTTTCGGAGAAGAAGTCGAAAATGTAAATTGTTTACGGACGCACGACGGACGACGGACGACGACGGACAAAAGGCGATCGCAATAGGTCACTTGAGACTTTGTCTCAGGTGACCTAATAAAAATCTTTAATCAAGAATATTTCGAAAATTGTTCGATAGATTCACTTTATATTCAGGTGTGATGTGGACAACACAAATGCGCACATTTTTGGTAGAAAACATTTCTTTTTGAGTTTACCAGGTCGAGTTTTGAGTTATTTCAGGGCTCAAGCTTCATATGTGCTATTTCAAGATAATGACTTCAAAAAACTTCTTCTAAAGTTCTACAAGGTCTACAGTCCTACTACTTGATACATAATACGGCGAGGTAATTGGCTATCAAGTTTGAAAAAATGATTGACCTAGAATGACTTTCAAGGTCAGAGGTCATATATGCAAAAATATTGAAACCACTTTTTCTGAATAACCAATAATTCCAGGGTAACGATGTTTGGCAAAGAAGCATGCTTGAATAAAGGGCTTTAAAGTGTGTGCAAATGAATGACCTTGACCTACTCTAAATATAACTTCAAAAGTGAAAGTCAAAAACCGTTTTCATTTTTGTGCGATTTTCAAGTGCTTTCAGCACTCTCCGTATTTTGATTTTTATCAAGAGATCTAATACACGCTGGTAATACTACATCGATTACTAAGAACTCTCAATCTTAAAAGTAGGGACAGTTCACATCTATACTGCAGTGGGTAAACATCAGCCTTTCTTTGGCGTGGCAAACCCAACCGATATAGACAAAAAGCTAGGTTCAATTCATCATCCTGATGTACATAGTGGACGGACTATATGACGAATTTTACGGACTACATTCCTATACAACTAAGCCCATTGGCTGCCTATATTTATCCATTCTTTCTCTGACGTCATTTCGCACTCTGGGAATCCCCTACTACTCAGTCAGCTACTGTAGACTTGCACAGGATATAATTAAAAGGCCAAATCAGTCCTTACAGTGAAAAGCCCGTCAAATTGTTAGCCAACAATTTCTAGTTATCATTATTATTATTAGTTAAACAAGTACAAAATAGATGACCACTGGAAAAATCAATTAAAATATATTGTTGAAAAGAAAAAATGAGAAATGATATATATATAATAATTTGAGGTTCCTATATATCACAAACTAGTTTGTAGGTCATTTCAAAGCAGTTCACAAATTATTATCCGTGGTTATAGGGCCTTTGCAACCAGCCAATATCTTTCTCAACTCCCTGGAGAGCATACAGCCGGTGCTGCCATTTCGGCACTCGTAGCTAGCATTCTACCATTCAAGAACTGCCCAACCATGTACTCATTCACAGCTGAGTAGACTGGAACAAGTGGAGTTAAGTATCTTGTTCAAAGATACAACACAGTGCCGTGATGTGACTCAAACCCGCAACCCTTCAGTCATGAGCCCTGCATCCTAGCTACCACTGGACTATCATGCCTGCTAAATATATTACAATTATAATTATGTATATGTATATTATGAGCTGACTGCCAATGGATTGTAAATCCTGTACATATTTTTATATATATTGTCAGATTAAATCTGTGTTTCTGTGTATAAAATGGGCTGGCGTACAACTATACTTACCATGAAGACAAGAGTAGCGTAAACTGCTGATGTTGACAGGGAAGGGTTTGCTATCATTATGGTGGCATTGATTAGATTTGGCAGCCAACTGTCACAACAAACAAAGTGCTGATAAAACATGATCTGACATAAAAACTGCAGCAAAATTACAATGCAGGTGACCCTAAAACAGTGTAAAATGAGATATTTTTTTTTAATTTTAAATTTTTGTTATTTTCACTTGCACTTGAAATTACTTTCCTCACTGACTCTGAAATGAAATTTTTTAAATTGTTTATTAATTATCTATTAACAAAATATTAAGAGGCCAATATGTAATGAGCATTACCGTATATAAGGTTATTTTCATGAGATATATATATGCACATTGTGTGTAAAGAGTTATCACCCTCACAACTTACCATAACCTCAAATCAAAACTATTTACTGTACCTAACCTTAGTGTAAACAATGCATACATTTTTTATTGATGAAATCCTTTAAATATGTACCCGGCCTGAAGCTGTTTTCAAGATCATATAAACACCAGCTTACCATGCCGTGAAGGTGACCATTATCAGAATGAACTTGAGGTGGATGGCATCTACGAGCTTCCTCTCCGTGGACGTGTACTGGCCGTAATGCCAGATCAACGCCTTCTTGGCTGTAAAATGTCACATGACCAATATTAACAGAAATCTTTGTAGGCCAGGGCCCAGTTGTTCAAACAGTGATTAGCTTAATCAGTGATAAGTGCAAATTTTATTTTTGTGCATCTTTAAAACAAAGCTTTTAATCGCGTTAAAACTTTCCAGATAGCAAATATTTTAGAAAAGTAAATTGCAAGGAAAATTACAAGGTTCTATCTTGTATATTGACCAAATTATTAGAGGTTGAAAAATGTTGTTAAACAGTGATGAAGATAATCACCTTTCAATCATCAACAACTGGGGCCAGATCAATGTATCAATCTCTTTTTCTAAATTAAGCTACATGTAAAGTGTTTATCACAATATTTTCGTAATAGGTTAATTTTGCATTGAGATTTGAGAAGACAGATTTGCAACTTTAAAGGTTTTCCAAATATTGATTTGATAGATAATTACTATCAATACTGAACTTCAGTACAGGTGAAAATAAAGTGGTTTACAATTTGCATGCAATTCTGTCGACACAATAGAATTACTCTGCCTCCTCATCAAACCTCAGGAAACCATGATAAATTTAAAGTTAATTTTGCCTTGGTTGAACATAAAGGGAAAAGGAATCACAAAACTTATTATCCAATCTGAATTTATGAAATGTAAATTTGTTTCAGCTTCACTAATCAAATTCACAACAGAGATTACAACCTACTAGTATTTGCACTGCTATCAAGAAATAGCCAACATTTAGGATTTGTCATTTATTAAGACTTTGTAAGACTAAGGGATTTGAAACCAGCCATAAAGGGCAAATAGAATGAATGCTGATGTATATATCTTAAAATATACTCTTTTTTTTCTTTTCCACAACATGGAAAATAATTTCACTTTAATTACAAAAAACGTTGGTTAATGGGGATCTTTCATTCATTTGGGCGTTGGTTTTAGGGGATCTCTCATTTATTTGAACGTTGGTTTTTGGGGATATTTCATTTATTTGAACGTTGGTTTTTGAGGATCTCTCATTTATTTGGGCGTTGGTGTTTTAGGATCTTTCATTTATTTGGGCGTTGGTGTTTGGGGATCTCTCATTTATTTGGGCGTTGGTTTTAGGGGATTTTATTTTATTTTCACCAAAGGCTACTCCTAGATGAACTGTACAAAATGACACAAGAGAACCTAACTCTACTTGACTTACCTGCCTCAGCGGACTTGTAAAAGAGGAAAGGATTAAATAGCATGACGATGAGAACAGGAGCCAGGAAGATGATATAGTTCAGATCTTTTACCATTGTATCTCTAGGTAAGCAGCTGTGAGATAAACAAAAATAAAATAAATATTTGAAAGCAACACACCTGCAGTAATAAAGGACATTAACTCATTCATCCCTGAAATTTCATAATCAACTATTCCAGCCCTTGAATTAGAAGAGTTCAAATGTGCCTTCAGGGGTGAATGAGTTAACAATATTTCAAAAGTAAATACAACTGTCGCCAGGATGGCAGTGTTATACCCCACAGTGCCAAGAGTTATGGTAATATTTCTTTCAAAAATGTTTTATTACAAAGAGGCATAACTTCATAAGTAGGGGTGGTAACTCCAGTAGATTTACTTTCTTCACATCCCCTTTAGGTAAGGGTTCTGCATACCAACTATCATTAAAATTGGTGCTGTACACTAAGAGAAGAAGTGCAAACAACTTAAAAAAAAGAAGCACAAATCCATAAATAAGGGAGTTAACTACAGCTTTTACACTGTATTCATGTCCTGTCAATGTAAGCAATAGTGAAGTATCATTCATATCAGTATGGGAGGAGTAGTTTGAATTTTTTTATTTTAAACAAAGGGGCATAAATCCCATAAACAAGAGGCCCAGAGGGCCTGTATCGCTCACCTGTTTCTTTTGTTACATGCAACTGACATATAGGTAGCTTAAGACCATTTGGTGACTAGAACACAAGACATTTTAACATCTCTTAAACGGTTCTGACGGTTCTGAAGATATTGTTGTTTGAAACTTAAAATTCTAATATTGAAGCTTTTAACCAAAGTTGACATTTGAATCCCGATTTGCACTTAAAGTTGACTTGTGACCTCATTACTGTAATGAAGAAAACAATTTACACAGCTGGTCTACATAACATACCTAAGTATCATGACTAGTCCAAATGGTTCTTAGGATATTGTTGTTTGAAGTTTTTAACATATTTGACCCCTGTGGCCTTGAAAGTAGGTCAAGGTAATTTTAATGACAAAACTTTATAGCACTCCATCCCAGGTACCTACTGGCTAAATATCATGACCCTGGGCCTTATGGAACTTTAAGGAGAAGATTGTTAAAGCTTTTAACCAAAGTTGACATTTGACCCCCGACTAGCATTTAAAGTTAACCTTTCACCTCATTACTGTAATTGAGAAAAATATTTGCACTGCTGGTCTACATAACATACCCAAGTATCATGACTCTAGTTCAAATGGTTCTTAAGGTATTGTTGCTTGAAATTTTTAACATATTTGACCGCTGTGACCTTAAGTAGGTCAAGGTCATTTTAATGAGGAAACTTTATAGCACTCCATCCCAGGTACCTACTGACCAAATATCATGACCCTTGGTCCTACAGTTCTTCAGAAGAAGTCGTTCAAAAGAAAAAGTTGACGGACGGAAGACGGACTATGGACAACGGACGCCGCAGTACGGCATAAGCTCACCTGGCCCTAAAAATAGCCAGCTTGAAATATTGATCACAGGTGAAATTCAGAGTGACACTTTCTGTGAATTTTCATGAAATTTAGCTGAAAACTGTAAGAGTAATTGTTTGGACAAGTTTGTGTCTACAGAAAGAAGGAAAGATAGACGAATGGACAACCCGAATCCAGTATAAAAGACACACACTC